ATAGATAGATAGATAGATAATTATAGATGATGGATGGATAGGTAGATGATAGATAGATAGATAGATAGATAGATAGATAGATAGTTATAGATGATGGATAGATAGATAGATAGATAGATAGATAGATAGATAGATATAGATAGATAGATGATAGGTAGATAGATAGATAGAGATGATGGGTGGATAGCTAGATGATGGATTGATAGATACATAGATGGATGATAGATATCGATAGATAGATGATAGATAGACTGTAGACAGGTAGATAGACAAGTAGATAGACAGACGGACAGATGACAGACAGACATCTTCTGCGGACCAGCCTTGAGCTCTTAAATCCGTCGTCCCTCACACTCCCCTCGGCCCGGAGATGCTGGGCATCCTCACAGCTTCTTAATTCAAGACAAGAAAGAAAAAACCAAAAACGCCCAACGAGGCGTAGACAGAGGATCCTGTCCCCAGAAGCTCCTTCTTGGCGATGACCCCAACGGAATGTCAAGGCCAGGCCAGGCGTCAGCCCCCGGGGGACACAGACCCAGAAACCCCCCCTCGTCCTCACTTTATATTTCGTGTTTCTGCCTCTCTCCCTCCCTCCCTCTGAGAGCTCCCCGGGCCTCATTGAGAAATGAAAGACCCAGAAACCCCCCCTCGTCCTCACTTTATATTTAGTGTTTCTGCCTCTCTCCCTCCCTCCCTCTCTCCCTCTGAGAGCTCCCCGGGCCTCATTGAGAAATGAGATCCCTGTGTGTGGGCCTCTAGTTTAAATATATTTTTATTGATTTCAGGGAGGAACAGAGGGAGAGAGAGAGAGACACACATCCATGATGAGAGAGAACCATGGATCGGCTGCCTCCTGCTCGCCCCCCACTGGGGATGGAGCCCACAACCCGGGCATGTGCCCTGGGCCAGAATCGAACCCTGACCCTTCAGTCCGCAGGCCGACGCTCTATCCACTGAGCCACACTGGCCGGTCCCCAATGAACATGCTCAAATACTGAGCAGTGACTCTAAGTGAGAAGCTTAAGAGAGGAAGAGGCGTGACCCTGAGCCCCACCGTCGCATGAGAGCCACCAGGCGTGTGATAGGCGTGTAACAGGCGTGTGACAGGCGTGTGACAGGCGTCTTTGTTCGCACCCACAGTGTCTGACCAGGCCTTCGTGACGCTGGCCACCAACGACACCTATTGCCAAGGAGCCCTGGTCCTGGGCCAGTCGCTGAGGGACCAGAGGGCCACCCGGGAGCTGGTGGTGCTGGTCACTCCTCAGGTGTCCAGGCTGCTCAGGTAAGACTCGGAGACACACCTGTGCCCACCTGGCTCCTCCTTGTGTAGAAGCAACGTCACCCGGGCTCAAGGGGGCGGGGGTCCCCCTGAAATTGTGTTGGTCCTAGAGCCCTGGCCATCATGGAATCGATGGGTGGATAATGGATGGGTGGACGGATGGATGGATGGATGGATAGATAGATGATAGATATAAAGATAGATAGATAGATAGATAGATAGATAGATATACCAGAGGGACGCCCAGACAGAAAGGACGACAAGGGTAACTTCTCTTCTCTGATGAATATTAAAATATTTCTACACAAAACAGCCCTCAAAAGTCAAGGGCAGCCTGGTTGGTGTGGCTCAATAGTTGAGCATCGACCTATGAACCAGGAGGTCACGGTTCAATTTCCGGTCAGGGCACAGGCCCAGGTTGCGGGCTCCATCCCCAGTGGGGAGTGTGCAGGAAGCAGCTGAGCAAGGATTCTCTCTCATCATTGATGTTTCTATCTCTCTCTCCCTCTCTAGATAATAGATGATAGATATAAAATATAGATAGAAGATAGATAGATAGATAGATAGATAGATAGATGATAGATAGAATAGATGAGACATAGGTAGAAAGATAGATACAGAGATTTACAGATACATAAATAGATGGTAGATAATAGGTAGGTAGATAGATGGATAGATAGATAAAATAGATGATACATAGGTAGAAAAATACATAGATACACAGGTACATAAATAAATTAGATAGATAGATAGATGATAGATAGATGATAGATAGATAGATAGATAGATGATTGATAGATAGATAGATAGATGATAGATAGGATGGATGATGGATGTGTGGGTGTATGGATGGTTAGATGGATGCATGGATGAATGGATTTATGGCTGGATACATAGGTAAATATAGATACATAGACATAGATTATTAATAGCTAAATATAGAGATGATAGATATAGATAGATTGATAGATAGATGATAGATAGATTGGATGATGGGTGTATGGATGGTTAGATGGATGCATGGACAGATGGATGGATGGATACATAGATTAAATATAGAGACATAGACCTAGGTGATTAATAGCTAAATATAGAGTTGATAGATAGATAGATAGATAGATAGATAGATGAGAGAATGGATGGATGGATAGATGATAGATAGAGATAGGATGGATAGATAGATAAATAAATAGATGATGTAGTTAGATGGATGATGGGTGGATGGCTGATGGATTGACAGATGATAGATAGGTAGATGATGGATAGATAGAGATAGGATGGATAGATAAATAGATGATTGATATAGTTAGATGGATGATGGGTGGATGGGTGATGGATTGATAGATGATAGATAGGTAGATGATGGATAGATAGAGATAGGATGGATAGATAAATAGATGATTGATATAGTTAGATGGATGATGGGTGGATGGGTGATGGATTGATAGATGATAGATAGGTAGATGATGGATAGATAGAGATAGGATGGATAGATAAATAGATGATTGATATAGTTAGATGGATGATGGGTGGATGGGTGATGGATTGATAGATGATAGATAGGTAGTGAAGGATAGATAGAGATAAGATGGATAGATAAATAGATGATTGATATAGTTAGATGGATGATGGGTGGATGGGTGATGGATAGATAGATGATGATTGATTGATGACGGAGAGATTGGCTCCCCGTATGGTTCTGCCATGATCCCAGCCTTTCTCTAGCTCCTCCTCAGGTTTCTGTCATCACAAGATATTCTACGTGATGCCAAAATCGAATTTAACCAAAAAGAAATAAATACTTTGGAAGAGAGAGGCAGATTTCATGTTGATAAAGGTAGGGGCCCTCAAACTTGTACGCAACCAACAATGTGGGTTCTGAATACAGAAAGCAATATATATATATATATATGACAGCGAACATCGGTTGGTTGCTATCGGTTCACGGCCACATAATTTGCAAAGAGAGGGACTTCCTTAAAGCTACCCTGGATCAGTCTCTCTTAAGACAGTTCTGGCCCTAGCTGGTGTGGCTCAGTGGCTAGAGCGTCAGCCTGCAGACCAAAGGGTCCAGGGTTCTATTCCGGTCAAGGGCACGTACCTCGGCTGCAGGCTCCTCCCCAGCCAGGGCCCTGGTCCCGGTTCGTGCAGGAGGCAACCAATCAATGTGTCTCTCTCACATCGATATTTCTCCCTGTCTGTCCCTCTCCCTCTCTTCCAATCACTCTAGAAATCAAGGGGAACATACCCTCAGGTGAGGATTAACAAAAAAGAAGAAGGGTTCATGTTTCCTGTTTCTGAGCAGGGATGGGGATATATACTGTTCCATGGTTCTCTACATCTTATGTTTTTTTTTTTAAAAAATATATTGATTTCAGAGTGGAAGGGAGAGGGAGAGAGAAACATCCATGAAGAGAGAGAATCATGGATCGGCTGCCTCCTGCACGCCCCCTACTGGGGATGGAGCCCACAACCCGGGCATGTGCCCTTGACCGGGTAATCGAACCCTGACCTCCTGGCTCATAGGTCCACACGCAACCACCGAGCCACGCGAGCCGGGTGTCTCCAGGTTTCTTGGCAAACGTCTCTTCCAGGGCTATTCTCTCGAGGGTATTTGACCAGGTCGTCGAGGTCGATCTGATGGACAGCACCGACCACGTCCACCTGGCCTTCCTGAAGAGGCCCGAGCTCGGCGTCACCCTCACCAAACTCCACTGCTGGACGCTCACCCGCTACAGCAAGTGTGTGTTTCTGGACGCCGACACCCTGGTGAGCACCCTGGGAGTGTGGGACCGAGACGGTGCCCTTGGTGAGAAACCCATCAGACACCACGCCTCCTACACCCCCTTTAGCAGGCTGCTACCTTGGGGTGGGTTCCCATCAGGCAACATGGAACTGTTGTGTGTATTTTATTTTATTTTATTATTTACTAGAGGCCCAGTGCACGAAATTTGTGCACGAGTGTGGTCCCTGGCCACCAGCTGGGCCTTGCTTTGTTTCACGCCACCCCCTGGTGGGCAGCGCACGTCATAGCAAGTGATCGATCTCCCGGTCAATCGAACTCCCAGTTGGTCGAACTCCCAAGAGGACACTTTGCATATTAGGCCTTTATATATAGAGAGACTAGAGGCCCGGTGCACGAAATTCGTGCATGGGTAGGGTCCCTAGGCCTGACCGGCGATCAAGGCCGATTGGGGCCTTCCGGCTGCTGGCCGGGACCTCCCTTCCCAGGTAGTCAGCACACATCATAGCGAGCGGTCGGACGCCTGGTCTCCCAGTCGAACTCCCGCGGGGACAGTTTGCATATTAGGCTTTTATATATATAGTTTTTATTATTTTTTTGATTTTTAAAAATTATTGTTGTGTGGTTTTTTTTAATCATTGATCAGCCGCCTCCTGCACGCCCCCTACTGGGGATCGAGCCCACAACCTTGGCATGTGCCCTTGACCAGGAATCGAACCCATGACCTCCTGGTTCCTAGGTCGATGCTCAACCACTGAGCCACACCAGCCAGCACTTGATTGGCTATTTCTTTTTTGTCTGTAGTGAGAGCAACCATCCTGGGGCTCAGACCTCCTCTGATGGACAGTTTGCAAGGAGCCAACCCTGTCTGGCCCCTCCTCAAGCCCCTCCCTCCTTTCTCAACCAGGAAACGGGAAGCCACAGGGGGTGGGGCGTGTCTACACGTGTCCCCTGCTCTGATTGACAGGTGCTGTGCAACATCGATGAGCTGTTTGAGAGGAGCGAGTTTTCGGCCGCCCCGGACCCGGGCTGGCCCGACTGCTTCAACAGCGGGGTGTTCGTCTTCCGGCCTTCCCTGCGGACACACCGCCTCTTGCTGCAGCATGCCGTGGACCACGGCAGCTACGATGGTGCGTGAGGGACAGCCTGGATTTTGGGGGACCCCATACCCTCCTCCCCTGCCCCATCCCTACCCCTCCTCCCCTGCCTGGGAATGAATGAAAATTTCAACACAAAATGCCCTAGCTGGTGTGGCTCAGTGGATAGAGCTATCGGCCTAAAGACTGAAGGGTCCTGGGTTCGATTCCTGGTCAAGGGCACATGCCCGGGTGGTGGGCTCGATCCCCAGTAGGGAGCGTGCAGGAGGCAGCCGATCCATGATTCTATCTCATCACGGATATCTCTCTCTCTCCCCCTCCCTTCCTCTCTAAAATCAATTAAATAATATCCATATGTATACAAGGCTAAGGGACCTACTGTCCGTCTGTCCAACCGGCCGACTGCACTGGCAATCCTATAGAACAAAAGGCTACTATGCAAATTGTCCCCTCAACTGGGAGTTCGACCGGGAGTTCGACCAGGAGGCCAGGCCGGCTGGCCAACCTCCCTCGGCCCCTCCCCCTGGCCTGCCCCGCCCCCGATCGGCCCCAATCTTGGCAGGCCAGCCGGACCCCACCTGTGCACGAATTTGTGCACCGGGCCTCTAGTTTATATATAAAAGAATTGAATTTTTTTAAAAGTAATGAATAGTATACCGTAAACAATCATGTATTCATGGTATTCCCTACTGGTAATCGATACAAATTAATGATTGTTGGTTTATGTCTCACTTTGAGACAAAGATAATGTTTTAGCGGGCAGAGAGGAGAAATGTGCTTGGTGACCTTGTATGACCTTCAAACATCCCTAGTATTGTTTTAAAAAATATATTTTTATTGATTTCAGACAGGAAGGGAGAGGGAGAGAGAGAGAAACGTCCATGATGAGAGAGAATCATGGATCGGCTGCCTCCTGCACGCCCCCGACTGGCGATGGAGCCTGCCACCCAGGCATGTGCCCTCGACTGGGAATCGAACCCGGGACCCTTCAGTCCGCAGGCCGACGCTCTATCCACTGAGCCACACCAGCCAGGGCTCCTGCTGGTTCTTAATAAAAAGGAAGGAGGTTGATGTATGTCGCACTTTGAGAGAACAATCATGTTTGAGCAGGAAGAGAGGAGACATGTGCTTGATGGAGCCTGCCACCCGGGCATGTGCCCTTGACGGGGAATCGAACCCGGGACCCTTCAGTCCGCAGGCCGACGCTCTATCCACTGAGCCACACCAGCCAGGGCTACTGCTGGTTCTTAATAAAAAGGAAGGAGGTTGATGTATGTCGCACTTTGAGAGAACAATCATGTTTGAGCAGGAAGAGAGGAGACATGTGCTGAGTGACCTTGAATGACCTTCAAACGCCCTTGTTAACTTTAACTTCTCTGTTCACCGTTCAGGGGCCGATCAGGGCTTGCTCAACAGTTTCTTCAGCAGCTGGGCCACGGCCGACATTCAGAAGCACTTGCCCTTCGTCTACAACTTGAGCAGCAGCGCCGCGTACACCTACAGCCCGGCGTTCAGACAGTAAGTGCACGCACGTGCCCAGTCCCGGGTCTGACTCTGAGGAGTAACCACCTCACATCAGCTTTTGAAATTTTACTTATTTTATTTTTTTATTGATTCCAGAGAGAGGAAGGCAGAGGGAGAGAGAGAGAGAAACATCACCGATGAGAGAGAATCATGCATCGGCTGCCTCTTGCAAACCGGGCATGTGCCCTTGACTGGAATCGAACCCGGGACCCTTCAGTCCGCAGGGCGACCCTGTATCCACTGAACCAAACCGGCCGGGGGGCTTTTGAATTTTTGAAACGTGTTTTTGTTGAACTTCAGGGAGAGGAAGGGAGAGGGAAGGAGAGAGAGAGAAACACGAATAATGAGAGAGGATCGTGGATCGACTGGCTCCCTCCCTACTGGAGTTCAAACATGATCGACAGCAGGAAGCTAGGAGTCCGGCTATAGACAAGCGGACAGAGACCCCGTGGTGCATGTATGTGCCGTGCCCGCACAGCCAAGGGTTCCGTGAACCGGAGGAGGGGCGGCGAGGAATTAAAGAAAAGATTGACAAAGAGAATACAGCTGGGGCTTGGTGGATCGCCTGTGCCTGGATGAGGACACAGAAAAGACGGATCCAGCCAGCAAGCTGAGCCTTTATTTTATAGTCGGAGAAAAACAAGGTGGTGGGCGACATAGTTACAATGTTCTTGTGAGTTTCACTTGTTTAGGCAGCACTTTCTGCACCTCCCACAGCTCATTAGCTTCCCAGGAAGGATCTAGGGCAGCGGTTCTCAACCTGGGGGTCGAGACCCCTTTGGGGGTCAAACAACCCTTTCAAAGGGGTCGCCTAAGAACATCGGAAAACACATATATAATTACATACTGTTTTTGCGATTAATCACAATGCTTTAACGATGTTCAATTTGTAACAATGAGATTGGGGGTCACCACAACATGAGGAACTATATGAAAGGGTCGCGGCCTGAGGAAGGTTGAGAACCACTGATCAAGGGAGTGGCTGTATGGTTAAACTTAATTAAGCTGAGAGGGCTCTGCCCTCCAAGCTGGGACTTGTGTGTGGCCCTGCCACAGGTCAGTTAGGTGAGGCTGAACTCTAGAGCCGCTCCGGCCACAGGTACGCAGTGGAATATTACTCAGCCATGAAAAAGGACTAGAGCTTACCATTGGCAACAGCATGCGTGGACCGAGAGCACTGGTTCTCAACCTTCTGGCCCTTTCAATACAGTTGCTCATGTTGTGACCCAGCCATAAAATTATTTTCGTTGCTACGTCATCACTGCGATGTTGCTACTGTTATGAATCGTCATGGGAATATCTGAGATGCAGGATGGGCTTAGGCGACCCCCGTGAAAGGGTCGTTCGACCGCCCAAGGGGTCGCGACCCACAGGATGAGAACGGCTGGTCTAGAGGGTGAAATAGGTCAGACAGAGAAAGACAAATACCAGGTGATTTCACTTGTATCTGGAATCTCAAAATAAAATAAATGAACAAATAAACAAAACAAACAAAAGCAGATTCAGAAAATAAGCCGATGGTTGCCTGGGGGGAGAAATTGGAGGAAATGGAAAACAAAAGCAAACCAAACATAAAAGTCACCAACCACAGGAAAACCAAGTCAATAAAAAATGTTTCTGAGTGTTGGGTGTGGTGGTAATTGAGAAAATATAAAACAGATTGAGAAGAAATTCATATTCTTGTAAAAGAAGCCTTTTTTAAGTTGGTTTTTTTTTGGTTTGCAGCTTGCATTATGTATTATAAAAGCTAAATTTTTTTGTCCCTGTTGTTGCTTTTTTTAAAAATTGATTTCAGAGAGAGGAAGGGAGAGAGAGAGAAACATCCATGATGAGAGAGAATCACGGACCGGCTGCCTCCTGCACGCCCCCTACTGGGGATCGAGCCTGCAACCCGGGCCTGTGCCCTTGACCGGGAATCGAACCCGTGACCTCCTGGTTCCTAGGTAGACGCTCAACCCCTGAGCCACACCGGCCGGGCTGTTGGTTGCTATTTAAATGTGTCTGGCCGCTCCCCAATGGAAATCTCCTGCGTGTTTCTGTCTCAGGTTCGGTTCAAGGGCGAAGGTGGTCCACTTTCTGGGGCCCAAGAAGCCGTGGAACTACAAGTACAACCCGCAGACGGGCTCGGTGCTGGAGGAGGCGCCTGGGACGGCCCCCCAGCACCAGCTGAGCTTCCTGAACCTGTGGTGGAACATCTACCAACACAGCATCTTGCCTCTGTACGAACACATCCCGGACGAGCCACGGAAACCATCGCCCGGACACAGGGTAAGTGGGGGGATTCCCTCGGGACACAGGAGTTGAGAATCGAGTCAATCCTGCCGGCCTGGCTCAGTGATTGAGCATCGACCTAGGAACCAGGAGGTCACGGTTCGATTCCCGGTCAAGGGCACATGCCCGGGTTGCAGGCT